CATAGTTTAGACGTAATTAAACTCCCTGTTAGCAAATAAAATTGTTAACTTAACGACGAACAGTTTAAGCTTAACAATGTCTCGTCATTAGTACCCGAAAAATTTTGCAGTTACGTGATCATTTCCTAAATTAGAATTGAAAAATTTTTCCGTATAAATAAATCACTTCCAATGACGAAAAAAATATCAAAAAATTGTTCTATTTATTACGAAAACTAAGAATTGATTTGCTTTCTTCCATTCTTATTTATATATATAATCTTTGTAAAAAAAAAAATTGATCTATCACGTGGTTTCATATAATCGAAAATATTATTTAAAAGGTTATTTTTCGTATTTTTCCCTTCAAGATTAAATAAAAAAAAATAAGGTAATTATATATTATATATTACAAACTCATCTTTATATCATAAAAAAAAATGCCTATTGGCGACGACAGCTATCATTATGTTCTCAAACCGACGTTCCCTTCCAACTTAATAATAAAAGAAATTATAAGTGTTATTAAAAGCACCTAGCAATAATCAAAAAGCAAAAACATTTCCAAATGCTTTCATCGCGTATAAAAAAGCATTGATTAAAGAAAACCGTATTAGAAACATTAAATTACCTCCTCCAATGGGCAAGTTTTCTAAAATTGCATCATATTTTTGGGATGATTGTAAAAAATTTTACAGAAAGTTGTAGTATGCTAAATCTTTGTATAAGCAAAATGAGATTCAAATCGTATTTGATAAACGTATGAATGAAGTTGAAGAAGGTGAGCTGGTTTGACATTTATTACCTGCATTATGGATTTGCAACCGAATTACAAGGTGAATAGCACGAAAAATATATAGAATTCTTTTTTAATAGCGATCCCAATAATTTCATTAAACAGCAAGCACGGGACTAACTCAAGAAAGAATTATGAAGAGAATTTGGTTGCACTAAGATATGTTTGGTATTACGAAAACCCATATATAGTTATTCCAGAACATCTTCGGGACTTGAATAGAGTTAAAACTTTAAATGCATTTGTGTTTCGCTAATCGAGCAAAAAATCATGTCCTACTATTATATACAGGATATACTTTATTTTTCACATTACGTGCATATATGAATGAAATAATTAAAAAATAAAAATATCAACAAATGCTTTGCAACGTAATACAGACAACTAAACAAAGAAAAGGTTTCGATAAATCTACGGGTATAACTATGCCTTTTGTAGAAAGTTGCCTGCATATTTATGTGTAAAGGTGTAGCTATTCCGAATTTTTGTACCTCATATAAATTCGAAATCGAAATCATTTATATTTTGGCAGGTATATACAGTATATATATAACTTACAGCTTATATGACCTTTTTATAGAATTGCTATTTATTTATTTCTGCGCTGCAACCGATAAGGATAAGTATAAATATTACGTTATTTACTTTTCCTAATTAACCGTCTTTTCCTTTAAAAAGTTCTCGACAAAAAAAATCATTTTTTCTTTTCTTTTTATTTTATTACAAACATTAAAAACGAAATATCACATAATTATGCCTAAAACATTAAAACAAAAAAAAGCTTATTGCGCAAAACCGTTTAAAATTAACATTTATAACGCAAAAATTCGTAAAAATAATTCCAAGTTTGAAAGGGTAATTAATTTGAATGATCATGAGTCAAACAATAATAATGATCTTAATGTCACCAAACCAACTTTCCCTCCCACCTTAACGACAACCGATCTTATAAGTAAGATTAAATGTACGTCCAACAGCAGTAAAGCAAAAACGTTCCCAAATGCATTTATCGCGTATCGAATAGCATTTATTAAAGAATATCGTAATAAGGACATAAAATTACCAACCATGTGCAATTTATCTAGTATTGCAAAAAATTCTTGGAACGGTGAACCACAAAACGTAAAAGATTTTTACATTAAACTATCTGAAGACGCCAAAACTTTGTATAAGCAGAAATCCATTCAAATCATGTTTGACAAAAATATGAATAAAGTTAAAAATAATCAAGAAAGCGAGCAAGTTTCACATTTGCACACCACGAGTGTAAATTCTGAAAAGGACCCAGATTGTGTTGATAATAATAATCAACGCACCGAGAGATTTTCCCCCCTTGAGGACGTACAAGATTCATCAAGTGGAGAACTTCCGCTTGAGGCTTCTCATAATTATAAATTTTTCGAAGATCCATATGGAACGAATTCAGCAGATCGAGAATTATTTCATTTACTTGATTATAACTTCAACAATTAGAAAACATATAAGTACAGAAAAGCGTGAAAATCGATGTGAAAATAATAAAATAATTCGGTGCAGTATATTCGATTATGCATTTAATTAAAATTTAATACACATTTGCGGAATATGTTATAAAGGATGAAAACGAATCTGAATACGATATAGAAATCAATTGAGAATGAGATTACAATATAAATGTTAAGTGGTGATTAAGCTATTACTATAAGCACCAAGATAAATTCAAATAGACAATGTATCGAGATTTTTGTAAAAAAGCGCAGCAATTTTTTTAACATAAAATAGTATATCAAACAAATTAAGTGTAATTTAATTAATTAAGCAATCATAGAATCTAGTGTTACGAGGTTATTTATATTTAATATTTTTAGAATGAAGACAATGCTTAAAACAATATAATAAATTAAAACTTTTCCAAAATTAAGTTATTCTGTAATATTAAATCATTCGTAACAACGATTGTCGTAATGCATGACCCAAAACCTTTATTCTATTTTTTCTTTAAAAAATGTATTAACATTTATATTAAAAGTCATTAAAGCTTATGTGTTATGGCGATTAAAACATAATTTTTTTTCAACAATGAATTTCGCACAATAATTCGCACAGTAAATCATATAGTTCCAACTCTAGGCATAATTCGTCGTCGACATCCCATAAATGGCTTATAATATAAATTTGTTATAATTAATTATTACTGAATTGATCCTGATAATCAATGCATTATAAAAGGCATGTCCGAAGATTATATATGTTTAGAACCAATTGACTAAACAAGTATTGCCTATAATATCCAAATCAAGCGCGCATAATTGTCTTTCAGATTTAACCCTTTTTATATCATGTAGTGCAAATAAAGTTTATTTTTAAATAACCTAAAATTGTAGCATAATTATGCACGGTTAAATTTTGGTGATTGGCTCCTGCGTGACTTTCTATACTGCGTTCATTACGTTTAAAAATTGCAGGGTCTAAGTTGAGGATCCCGGGTCTATTTTAAGGGGATCGGAATTAGGAAATCTATATTTGCAAATTAACCGCAGTATGTATGGAAATCTTCATATTAGGATGCATTTTGACTTTTTTATTTATATACAGTAAGCCAGTTTTGCCACAACTTAATTCTCGGAGAAATAAATTATGACTAATAAAGCAAACAATTTATCCGGCTATTAATCACAAAGAAGTTAAATACATCAATTTAATGGCAAATAGATCTTTTTTTTTCTTTGATGAATGAATCAATAAAGAGAAGCTAATTTGTCCTTTATAAAGGTGTAAGATAAATACCCATGAGCGGCTGTCTGCCATATTTCATTGTAGGCAAGTTTTTTTTTTTTTGTACGAATGATGAAAATCTATTCTTATGTGATTTTTTTTTATAGGTTATCTAACTAAATAAGAATCTCACATTGTTTCACTATTCTATTAATATCACAAAAAAAAATCGTACGAGTTGACTCCAAGGTCATATCACTTTCTATTGTTTATAAAAAGCGTAATGATTGACGGAATTTATTTGCAATGATTTACGACAATAGATACGAATTAGTACATACAATAAAAAAAGTTCTTTGAGATGCTTAATTAAATTTTGTAAACGCGTAATTTGATTATCATAAAAGTTGAGAATTTACCGTACTAGTTATTTTAAGAATATCAGTCAATAAAGATTATATTGTTAGATTTCTCTTTCAGATCAAAATAGAACCATGACATGATATTCAGTAATAGAATTTAAAAATAAATTCATTTTATTTATTAGATTTATTTATTGATTTTGGATTCCAAGTAGATGATGATAATTTTTAAGGGAAAAAATAATCAAAGATGAAAATAACTTTGATCATAAGTCATTATATTACATATACTTTGCTTATATCATATATTGTTTGAATTAACGAAAAATGTAACGGTGATCACAAATTTAACCAAATATGCGCGAGAAAATCTTCCTTTTTCTAGGTGTCGTTTTTCGTAAGATAATTTTTCGTTATACACAGGATTTATGAATACTTATGAGAATCAAATTTTCTGTTCAAAATGGTAATAAATGGCTTTAAATTTTAGTTCAAATCTTTAGAATAAGTATTATAAACTAGAAGTTAAACGTCCGAAGCGGCAGTCGTGATCTGCAGTAACTGGACAGAATTGGTCCTGCGCTACGTACACATTTAATTAAATCAAAATATAAAAGTTACTAAACTAATTGAGTTTTGGGAAGTGATGTAAATATTTTCTGTCCCTACCTTTTATATCAAATATTCCTTAAAGTTTTGTAGGAAATGAGATAGCTCAATTAGTAATCCTGACGAATGCTCGATGGGAGGAACCTATCCTGCACGCAAAGATAACGCCATTACTTTTTTTTGGATTACACGCGGTCACGCGGTCCCAAAATAATTTCAACAATTTCTAATTATAGCAAAAAAATCTATAATAAGTTACTCTAAAATGGTTGTTATTAATAGTTTGTAAAAGCCGAGGAGTGAAATTATTGAAATTATTATTTATTTTAATGGATAATAATAATTCCTTAACACAAGAACATAAAATAACAAGACGGTAAAAATTAAAAATTGGCGATTTTCTTAGCAAAAAAATACATATTAATAAACGCGCGATGAGAGTTTTTTGCTTCACGTATTAGATTCAAAGTTTGTCTTAAAGTGAGTGGCGATATCAGCCTGAACGTTTAAAAAGTTTTTAAGCCTGCGTGCGACAAAACAATTGGTAATTTTATTTTATTTTTTTTTTTGGATTTAAGCATTTAGAATTTTTATGTTTAAAATGAGTTGGATTGATTAATAACGTTGTTTGAGCATTAGAAGCTCAAGGGATATATATATTTATCTTTTTTACTTTTTATTTTTAAAAAAAAGCAAAATTTTTATGCAATTAATTTTTTTTGATTTCATACATTATTTTCTTTTTTTCAGCCTTCATTTATACCAAAGAAACATCCATCTAAGGATATAAAGCGCAAGAAAAAAGAAAAAAAATTTGAGCTGGTAAAATTTATCAAAGCAGAATCTACAGGCTTGAACTTTAAAGCTAATCATTTTTTATTTACGATCGACTATTAAAAGAATGTGTAACAATAATATTAATAAAGAGGCACTCGCTCGAAATAATACGCCAAATAAAATAACATGACTATCTTGAAAATCCCATAATTAAAATTTCTAAAAGGAAATGCCAACGCTCCTGTCATCCTTTTGAACTTAACCATTTAAATTTTTTTTATTTTTATTTTTTTTTTTTTTTTTATAAAAAACTAAATACCGTCTTGAAATTGAAAGTCAATCGAACGCAAAAAGCAAAAAAAAGTATCTGAAAACTTGAATTAATTCAATTTCTTCAATTTATAATAACTCATTAATTAACATTAAATATAGGCTTGAAATTATAAGAAGAGTTGGTTTATAAAGGAGATTTTTATAAAGAATTACCTAAATTAGTTTAGATTAATAAAGCTAGACAATAAGCACCAAAAAGGAAATTTAAATAGTCTAATTCATGGTCACGTGTATTTATTTACAATGACACACGTCTATATTTTTCAAAAAAAAATTATTACGACATTGTTTCATGAAGTGACAAAAAAATTTATGATTCACTGACGTTAAACCATATTTCAATGGTAAGATATAATCATTGAGTCTAAGATTACATTGATTCATTTCGCATTTTTTGAAGAAAATTTGTGGGTCCTAATTTTTATAAAATCCGCAAGAAAAAATTCACCTTTTTATTCGTAATAGACAAAATACATAATCAAATAATAATATCTAATATGATAATGAACGTGATCATTATAATAATAACTTAACACATTAGCTAAGAAGAAATAGGAATTGAAATAATATTCATAATATTGAAGAAAAGAAAAAAGTTATTGAAGTAGAAATGAAAATAATTTTGAGTGAGCATAATTTGGAAGACAGTATAAATTTAAATTTGTTATTAAATCTTGTGCAATATCGAAAGCTTAAATAAAATTGGGGGTAATCAAGAATTATTATTCATACACCATGAAGATAATGGAAGTAGTAAACTTACAACATGAAAGGTAAGTCAATACATTAATATATGATGTAATAACTTAATTAGTCGATTCAAGTAAATCACGTAGATTTTTATTCATCTTTTCCAACAAAAAAAAATGCCTTTGTTGGTAAGCGATTATATTCATGTTGTCGGTATTATTAGGATTAGCAGTAGAACTACTACCAGAATCCTCAAGAGAACGAGCCCCAGCATGATACGATTTCAGTGTCACCAGTAGCATGACTATGTCTATCAATTACTATTTGAATATTGCGAAATAGTTCTTATCAGCAGAAGTCGTCTCTGGATCTGCGTAAAATTCGGGGAAAGTTGAAGAGCCCTCAATAGGAAGACCACTAGTCGAACTAATATCCTGTAAAGTGGTGCCGGATTGATCGGTTTGATCAGCATATTTAGTCGGTTCAAGTAAATCACAAAAATCTTTATTCATTCGTTCCAAGGAACAAATATATCTTTGTTGGCGGACGATTATATTGTTGATATTATTAGGATTAGCAGTAGAACTACTAACAGAAGAATTCATGACGGGATCCTCAAGAGAAAGAGCCCAAGAATGATGATACGATTCAATTTCTATTTGAATATAGCAAAATAGTTCTTGATAATCAGAATTCGTCCCTGGATATACGGTCGATTTAAGTATATCACATAAATTTTTATTCATTCGTTCCAACGAACAAATATATTGTTGGCGAGCAATTATCTTCATGTTGATATTATTAGGATTAGCAGTAGAACTACTACCAGAAGAATTCATGACGGGATCCTCAAGAGAAAGAGCCCCAGAATGATACGATTTAATTACTATTTGAATATCGCAAATTAGATCTTGATAATCAGAATTCGTCCCTGGATATACGGTCGATTCAAGTATATCACGTAAATTTTTATTCATTCGTTCCAACGAATTAATAAATTGTTGGCGAGCGATTATATTCATGTTGATATTATTAGGATTAGCAGTAGAACTATTACCAGAAGAATTCATGACGGGATCCTCAAGAGAAAGAGCCCCAGAATGATACGATTTAATTACTATTTGAAAATCGTAAATTAGTTCTTGATAAGCAGAAACCGTCCATGGATATTCGGTCGATTCAAGTATATCAGGTAAATTTTTATTCATTCGTTCCAGCGAACAAATATATTGTTGGCGAGCGATTATACTCATGTTGATATTATTAGGATTAGCAGTAGAACTACTACCAGAAGAATTCATGACGGGATCCTCAAGAGAAAGAGCCCCAGAATTATACGATTCTGTGTCACCAGTAGCATGACTATGTCTATCAATTACGGGTATTAGTTCTTCATCAGCAAAAGTCGTCCCTGGATCTTCGTAAAATTCGGGGGAAGCTGAAGAGCCCTCAATAGGAAGACTACTAGTCGAACTCTTATTCTGTAAAGGGGTGCCGGATCGATCGGTTTGATCAATATAACCAAAGTCTGCGTCACCCGTAGCTCGCGAAGGTAAAATTTTTCCGCTTTTTTGTTTATTTTTGATCATATGTTTATCCATAACGAATTTATACGTATTTGATTTATACGAAGCTTTAGCATCATCAGCTAGTTTTTTGTAAAAAGCTTTTGTTTCTGGAGGTTCATCTTTCCAAGAAAGACTTGCTAATCTGGATAATTCGATCATAGTCAAATTAATATTGTTACGAAGATACTCATTTCGTAACTCCCTTTTATACACGAAAAAAGAGTGAGTTTTTACGGTAGATTTCGTACGAAAAGTTTCGAGTAGATCTTCGGTTGTTAAAGTGGGTGGGAATTTAGGTGTTATAGACATGATTACATTAATTGTTATAAGTTATACAAGAAATATTTTTTTTACAATATGTAAAAAGCCTACAGTATTTATTATTTTTCTAATCTGCTGATCTCTAGGTTGTTAGTTTACAAGTTCAAAATGCACATCAATGTCACGCAGAGTGTATCTTAATTAAACACTAACATTTTTTTTTCCTTTTTTACTTTTTTTACTTTTTTTTTTTTCTTGATAATTTTTATAATCACAATTCGTCCAATTACGCCATAATTTATAAATCGTTTTACACAACTATTTGTTTGAAACTAATTTCATTATCCCGTTTTGAAAGTAAAGTTTCTAAGCTTAACCTATTTTGTTGTAATCAAATTGAGGGGGACACTGGGCTACAAAGACACTAATGAATCAGGATAACGAATGTTGTTCAAGATAGGAATTCACAAAAAAATTTTTTAATTTAAAATATTAAAAAAAAAAAGTTCTTTTTATAGCAAATGAAATTAACAAAAGTTAGAAGTTTTTTAAATCATCTAATAATCATCATAATATATCTAAAATGAAAATGTAAACAAAACTGCAAAAAAAAGGGTATAGTCTATTCACGTTAGTATATACTAATACCAAACTCCTTTTATGACCTAGACTATTCTAACAACCAATAGTGTTTTTCCCAACGAATTTAAATTTTTTTGTCCCCTCGTCAACAATATTACATGTTGTCTAAAAAGATTGCATAAGGTCGTGCATGTACCTGCACGTCTGCAGTTGTGATAGGTCAACGGGCCACGAGTTATTCCTTCACTTAAGAAGTTGTAAAAAATTCAATACACATAACGGTAATTGTATAAAAATGAAATCTAGTCCAATTACGTAATCATGGCTGATGTATAAACTTTTTCCATATTAAATTTTTTTTTATTAATACCTAATTTGGCAAAACAATATGCGATCACGGGCACGAGAAGTATAATGAATTAAACACAAACAAAGTTGAAAGAAGGAACGTCGTAACTTTTTTTTTTTTTTTACCGAATTACATAGAATTTTGATTTTCTTTGTTTTGTTTTAGCAAAAAAAATTTTTATCAATGGGTCAATCAGAATATCATCAAAACATTCACATAGAATGGAAAATGATGTCAAACTGCAGCTGTTGCAAAAAAATTGACCATTAATGTTAAAATAACTTATTAATTCAATGTTCCTTTTATGACCTAGCAAAACAACTTACAAACAGACCTAAACCTGAAATATAGGTATATAAACACAACTTTATATTAAAATCATATGATAATAAAAAAAATTAGTAATATTCCCTGTAATTCGAAAGGTCATAAGGTCGTGCGAAGGCACGTTATCATGCAAAATAGTCTGTAAAGAAATTACCTATAAGTCATAGGGCAACGTTTTCGAGATTTAAGATAGAGATTTTCTTAATGAAGAATGATTTTTTTTAACCACACAAATTCTTTTTATCGCCTTAATTAATTTAATTGGTACCTTTACAGATGTTGTTTGTTAGTTCTTCTTTGTTTTAGATACAGTTTACTTTCTTTTCTATTTTTTGATAAAATAAATAAATAAATAAATTTCTCGGAGATTTCATCTTTCAATTCCTAATAATTGAAGTCGTAAAAAGAGTACGTTTGTGAAACATAATCATTCACGCAAAAAATGGTGTTACTATGAATCTCATGCATCACTGTACTACAGCATATAGGGAGGTAAAGTTTCATGATTTGTTTCCGGTTCCACAAATTGATAATCCTAGTCTTAAGTTAGTAACGAAATTTATTCTTGAAATTTTCGGAAAACAATCATCAATTACTGTAATGAAACAATTGAGCAAAAGCGAAGATAGTACATTTTTTTTTTTATTAATCCAGAAGGAAGATATGTAAGGAAAGATACATCATTTACAAAAAAAAATTAAAAAAAAAGGCTTGCAACTGGTATGTTTTTTTTGTAGATATGATGAAGGAATACCAGATATGACCAGAAATTGATCACCCTATATAAGAAAAAGGTGCCGCCGAATATATTATGCAAAAAATTCTACGATGACGATCAACCTCGCATCATTCTTTAATAAAATAAGTTTTTTACCTTCCAGATGTAACAAAATTTGATGTGTGGTATGCATTTCATGATCAACATAGACTAACAAGAGTTTATTTATTTATTTATTTATATTTGCGTTCTAGATAATTTGCCATTCTATATACGATAAAGGCGGTTATGAATTTTTGTTAAGTTTGTTGGATTAAAAGCATTTCTAATGACGTTTGCGGGAGGTTTTTAACGGAAATTTATTCATTTATTGTTCTCAACAATGTGATTGGCTAGTGATTGTCAAGCTTTACGATAAAGATGGCTTGATCACTCTCTTTCACTCGTTTTATCAATTTTTCATTATGCCTCAAAAAAAGAAATCTAAAACAGCTTCTAGAACCTTAACTACTCCTTTTTACAACCTAACAAATAATTTATCATTGCAACAACAACAATATTCTGCTACACAACTTTTACGAGTCCTTTAAATGAAGATATACAGACCCTTTAAATGAAACAGCAAGATACGGTATACCAAGATTTCCGGTAAATAATTATTCTTTTATAATTATATATGAAAGGTTTTAAACTCAAAGGTTGAATGGAAATGAATGGGCAATCACTTTTTATACTCCATCAATGATAAATTTTGACCAATCAGCACAACTCTATTAAAAAAAGGTTGTTCGTAGCTAAGTTTTTTTTTAGCAAATCAGATCATTCAATAAACCATTGAGGGAGGCTCTTGAGAACGGCCTTAATTTAAAAAGGTAGGATTCTTTTGTTTTAATATTTTTACTTTAGAGACAGTATATCCGATTTGAAAACTTATATAATAAAATTATTTTATAAATAACAAGATAGAAATAGGAATTCTTCGTCTTATTTATATGTGAGATTTCATTAACGAACGAATTTTTATTTTTATTTTTATTTACTGTAAATTAGACTTTTCAATGAAACTCATTTGACAGGCGGTTCTCAAATTCAAATGAATGAAAAATTAATGGGAAATTGGTGTAACCTTTGCAATAGAAAGAGTAGATGAGTTAGAGTTAATTCATATCAATAATTGTATCATTCTTTTTATATAAATAAAAATAGGACATATTACAAAATATTTTGGATAAATACTTTACAACCAAACTAATTAATTCATTATTGCTGTAATAAGATAATAATGTTATGAATTTTTTTTTTTAAAAAAAAATCAAAGCTAGTTAAATACGAGCGTGAATCGTACAAACTTTTCTTATACGAAAGGGAAAAAAACAAAACTGAATTGGTTGCGTCATCAAATATGCGGGGACATTGACTGTGTCGAAATTCGAAACCTAATTATCGAAAGTCGTAAATCAAAGTCGAAATAAAATCATTTTTATGAGAAAAAATTAAATTGTAACAAACTTAATTCAGACCGGCTCTATAAATTAATTCTTGTCCTAAATTAATTTATATAACGATAATAATTGTAGAAATTTTATGTATTTTATGTATATAGAAAAATAAAAAAATTACAATATATTTTATTTATTATAATTTGAATATTTACAATTTAATTATATTTTCAGATGAACCTAAATTTGTGTCTTTTTTAAAAGAATTTGTAGTTTCTGCAAGGTTCATTCCAGGGTAATGTATGAAACATAACATTTATTTTCAAGTTATATATAGGTTATATAGGTTATCAACTTAATATTCATTGTAAAGATTTTTATTTTAAAGTTCATAATATTCTTATTATCGCCAAATAAAAAATACTCAATTAAGTAAAAAAAATTTAAAAACTTTATTTTGTACTGTACCTCAGATTTCGAATATGTCGACATAAATCACCGCCATTATATTATTTTTTAGTATCCCGTCGACATCTGACGCAATCGACAATATAAAAAAAGACTTTATTTATTTATTAATTTTATTTTCTTTATTTTTTTTTGCAAAAGAAAAAAAAAATGTGGAATCTACACTTGTATGTCTTGTATGTCCAGAATTTTTCAAGAAATCCGAAGGTCTTTGCTAAAAGATATGGATATAGAATGAATGAGATAAGGTAATAAACCGGAAGTTTATAATATTACATATAGTAGAATAGGTTAAAAAAATTCCTTCACAATATAAGTTTAGTCGTCGAATATAAAATAAACTGTTCATATTTCGAAATCATCGATAAAGTCTAAAAAGTAAAGCATAATACAACGAATACTTACAATCTTCAACATTTTATTAAATCCATCTTATGGTAAATTATATTTAATCTACTCGAAGAACGTCCGCCAATATACGATTTCAAATAGAAAAGTTAGTTAAGGAGAATTATAGCAGAAAAAAATTTTTTGTAAAAAAAGGCTATCACCTAAGCTCTAACCAATAGTATCACCTAAAACCTGACTTCGCATCGCATAATAATAACAATGCTTTATGTCACACAGAAATGCGTGCGTTGGAAAGAAAAATCACTACATAATAAAGGAGCAAAATCATAAAAAAGGTAATATTAAAAAAAAAAGATAAACAAAATAAAAAAATTACAGAATTTTTCGAGTTTTCTTTTTTTTTTATTTCTCGGAAATTTTAGATTCTTGAAAGTAAGAACGAGTAAAAGCGCGATAGCCTGTGTATTTAAGCTTGATTAACGAAAGATTAATTACCTCATTTTCTTTTCACATTTCACCCTCTTTCTCATGGGGAAAAAACGTTATATCTCACCCTATCTTTTTCATGTAAAACTATTAACTTTTTTAATTTGAAACATGTCCCATGTCCCAGACTTCAAAGTATCGAACACAAGCAATACGCACTAAATAGTTTTATAATAAAGCAACGATTATATTGTGATATGTAATATTTCAACACGTAATTATCAATATCACAATATTAACTAAGATATTTTGGAGTTGATAAAAAAACCTGTTCATATATATGTATAAAATAATTTTTTAAAAAATGAAATCGCTTCTCTCAACTCTTGCCAAGTGATAGTAAATCTTCATGGTAGATCGAGATCGACTGAAAAAAATGTAACCAATCATATCGAAGTTACATACAATTGAGCAAAAAAATTAAGATCACGGTTGACTGAAAAAATGGTAGCCGGATTTATTTGCCGGTTAGGTTAGGATTAGAGTTAGCTTAGGGAGGGTTAGTAATAGGGTAAGGCTTTAGGATGCAAGGGCTTAGGATTAGGATATAAGGATTAGAGTTAGGTATTGTTCTTGTGACAGGATATTTTTATGAGGAAATATGCTAATTGTCACCGATTATTTGTCACATAAATAGTGTAATGCTATTATAATTTTATTTATTTCTATTATGTATTGAAAATTTTCTAATATAACCCTAAACTGCAACTCTACGAATAGCAAGGTTTTGATAAATTTGCCAATCGCAAAAAAAAAAAATAAAAAACACTATAAACGTAATTCTCATAACTCGACAATTATAAATCAATTATAATTTATCAACGATAAATATCGGGTTGTATGAAAAAATAAAAGAATTAAATAATTTTTAACGTTATTAGAAATTATTTTCAAATTACTGTACATGACATGACATATATGCATGCAAAATTCAAAAACATTTCAATTGTTCTTTAAAATTATAGATTCTAATGAATTATCCTTGTTTCCAAAATAATGTGTGTTTACTAAAAATCTAAACGTGATGATGTTTATCCAAACACAAAAAAGAAAAAAAAAATGCCAAAATTACTGGCGTAATTAAAACCCCAAATATTCAGCGATAAATGATCTACGAATCAAGCATGCGAAATAGTTCTTTATCGGCTGAACTTGTGCCTGGATCTTCGTAAAATTGGGGGGAAGCGGAAGGGTCCTCAATAGGAAGACCAATAGTCGAACTTAAAGGGGTGCCGGTTTGATCGGTTTGATCAAGATAACCAGAGTCTGCGTCACCTGTCGCCCGCGAAGGTAAAACTTTTCCGTTTCCTTGATTATTTTTGATCTCAGTATGTTTATCCATAATGAATTTATACGATATTGGTTTATACAAAGCTTTAGCATCATCTGCTAGTTTTTGGTAAAACTCTTTTGTTGCTATAGATTCTTTTCCCCAATATTTACTTGCGAAAGTGGATGCTGTGCACATATGTAATTTAATATTGTTGCGGAGATTCTCTTCAATTAATTCCATTCTATACACAATAAATGCGTTTGGTGTTATTGAGTTTGGTTTGTTGTTTTCACGTAATTTTTCGAGGAGAACTTGTGTTGTTAAAGTTGGCGGGAATCTAGGTTTGATAGCGATTTCAGGAATTATTGACATGATTATATTAAAAATAACCAAAAAGAAATAATGGGGGGGTAGTATTTATAATTCGAAATTTCGCTGATCTTAGGAAAATTGTTGATGTCAAGAAATAATTCTCCATGCGCTAGGACGATTTCTTTTGACAGATAATTGTACAAAAAATTTTTTTTTTTCCTTTAGTAACAATTTGCCAATTAGGCCATCATGAGTAAAGTGGCTGGAGAATAATATAATGAATTTAGGATATTGAAAAATATCATATTTAACAAATTTTTTATGTAGCAGAAGTTTTATATATCTGATAATCATCATATGGTTGCAAAAAATAAAAATAAGTCTAACGTTTTATAATTTATAGAAAACTCCTTTTATACCCTTTCCTTTAGACAATATCCTAATAACGCACCAATAGTGTTCTTACAACTAAACTTTCTTGACCCATCTAGGATAAAAAAATATGTCTTACATACATTCCCTAAAAAGAAAAATGGTCATATGGTAGCGCAAATGCAGTCCCATTCGTTTTAAATAAAAATATCTTCCCTTTTTTTAAAAAGAAAAATAATAAAAAGGGATCATTCAGGGGTTTTATCCATGGACCAAAAAGGTTATTTATAAAGGTCTTTGCCTTCATGCAGAATGTTACATGTATAAGCATATACAATGTTTCATGTCATTTGAATATTTCCACAAATTGAGCAGCAGAGCAGATTTACCGTAACTTGTAATAATTTAGAAAAAAATATGCATCAAAAGAAAGGGAAAAAAGATTAAAAAAAATAATAAATTTAGAATTTTCTTTTTTTTAATTTCGTTAGCTTTATATTTAAGGTTAAAAAATGCTATGGCATTTACCAGAAAAAAAAAATAGGTATTTATGACTGTTGATTGGTTCAGTTAAAAAATACCAAGGAATACCATAATTGTGGTATTTACATGTTTAGCGTGTTGGCAATTGGAAGAAATTGATCACACGAATAAACTTCTACGCCTCGCATTCATTTTACCAATTTTCATTTTAGATTAATTAATTAAAATTAATTACGCTAATAATCTCACGTGTCTGCTTCAAGATTTGTGTTTTAGAAGTTGACCATACGAGTTTCTGTAGATGTTTAACATCGATAAAGGTGGTTAGATTAAAAGTAGTTCGAGCCTGTCCATTTCTATTACTTCTATTACGTTATCAAAGGTAATAAATTCTTTTTAAAATAACAAAGAAATGAAATTTTAAATTTCTGAAATGACACCACTGATTGATTTTTTTTAATTTAGCCATCAATTGAAGATAGGAAACCAGATTTAACAGACGACTTTTAACATTAAATGAATGGAAGTTAATAGTCAAAGTTCACATATTACACGTGATAATATATTTATCTAGTCAATATCACTCTATTCTATAGCTAAGCTTAAATAAATGACTAAAACTAATTTTAAATATTGTGTAGAATTAATTAATAAAATTGACTATTTTAAATTTTGTTATTAAACTATTATTTATTACAAATAAAATTTCGTAATACTTGAAATTTTGCTATTATTTTAATAACTTGCTATTTTGCTATTTTTTAAAAAAAAATTTTTAGCACAGTTCGATATACATATATGTGATCTATAAATTGTGATCAAAAAAAATTTACGCCACAATAGACAAAAAATTGCACTAAAAATATATTGAGTCGAAAATAATGCAACTATAAAATATCGTAACAAAACCATAAATATATGGGTTAGTACGTACAAAAATCAGGTTTTGATCATATGATTTATATAGTCCCGCAGCATGATTTTCGTACGTACTAACCCATATGTCGATCATCTCTATTTGATTGACGTTACACAGTAATATAAGCATTTTTGCCGGCCTAATTGTTCAAATAAAGTTCATTTAATATACTATAATATACAATCAAAAATCTTTCTTTTTGTTGAAAGGTTCCCATAACCCATTTTTAATAGCACAGCTCCCATATATTAATAGATGTTGAACTTATAAAATATATAACTAATCATTTTATTCAGTTTGATGTTTATCATAAAGTAAAAAGAATCTAATGTATATGCAGAAAATATACTTTAAAAAACATTTTCTTTTTAGCAAAAAAAAAATAAATGTCATACGTACGTATATTTAAATTTAACGTGGTGGATACAAGGATGAAAATAGGATAATTCAACATTATGATACACTGTACTTTTAACTTAACGACACAACACTTGGATTGGACAAGGAACCCGAAGAATCCAGGGATTTATTATTATTTATTTTTATTATTATTTAATAACTTAATTATATTATATATTATTATTTAAGATAAATTGTAAAAGTAAAATTGTATAATTATATTTACAGTATAAGCTATTTAATTAGTATATTAAATAAGTAAAATATAATCTTTTTATTAATAAAGATGAGATGTTATAATATATTAGAAACTTTTAATATTAAGAATAGAAATATCATTTGTTTTAAGGGTAAAGATTAATTAACCTCCTTTAACCCATATAGTTGATTCCTTTTTTGCAATAAAAACAATAAACAGCACATCAAATGTCATACTGGGGTGCTCGTCATACTATCATTGAAACAAATTATATAATTAAAAATTATTAAAAAGCAATATCGGAATGAATTATTGATTTTTTTGATATTTTTTAAAGCGAGCATTTTTCAAGCGTTTATATGATTTATAAGCACCTATATTAAATTAGATGCACAGCCTTAACGACAAAAATTCTAAAGCAAGTTTTAAGTAGATTTATATTAAGTTTCAAAGGTTTCAAAGAACTAAAATTTAAATGTTTTAATGAAAAAATTATACGTCAATGTAAAATTCTTTTGTGCCGACCAAGTAAACAATGCGGTTGTAAAAAATCATTTTTTTTTTTACTTAGGCTATGTAAAATTTTTAAAGAATTTCAAACCTTGCATCTAAAAAATCTAACAAATTATAGTTATTTATACAGTATAGTGTTATTTCTTCCATTGATTAATTAAAGGTAGCCACATATGGTTTAAATTAAATAGCACATACGTTGCCAACCTTAGTAATTGTGGTTGATGTTTTATATTTTTAACATTTCCATAATAGTTTGTTTTATACTAATTTGGTAAAAAAAAAAAAATATGCGTGAATATAAATATAGAAGAAATGTTGCAACTTTTTTTTTAAAAAAATAAATGATTACTTACAGAAAAGAATTTAATTGGCAAATAAAAATAACGAATGGCATCGAACGTTGGTTTTCTTTGTTTTGTTAAGAAAATGATGACAAACTGCTTTTATTGTTGCAAAAAAATTGTCCATTAACGTTAATAAAAAAAAAATTAATATAATACCCATTTTTATGACCTTCAGAAACAACGTACAAATATGCCCAACATTTATTCCTAAAAAATAGATATCTAAATACAATAAAAAAAAATATACATGATGCATTAGCCATGAAATATTTGTAATAATCTCCGGTTATTTGAAATGTCATAAGGTCGTACGAAGGCACTTTATCCTGCAAAAGGAATCGATAGGTCGACTTTTTCGAGATTAAGATAAGAGATTTTCTTAACATTAATGAAGAATGATTTTTAAACAACACTTGAGGTCAATGTTATTTGTTTGTTCCCCTTTGTTTTAGAATATAATTACTTCTATTTTTAAAAAAAATATATAAATAAATAAATAAAATGTCGCGATATATTCCTAAATAGAGATATAATCATATTAACCATATCACGCCAAAAAGATGTATGAAAGATCATGCATGGGATAAGTTTCATGTCATAAAGTAGGATGATAATCTTAGAAACAAATAACAAATTTGTCGTAATTATTTAGAGTTACAGTATAATTATTCGGTCCCTGATTATTATAAATATTTTTATTCTTTGCTATCATAATTATCATTCGTTTTATTTTTTCTTTTACAATATTTATCCTTATAATTCACATGCGCATAAATGTTACTTAATTAATTTATATAATAAAAAATGTGCAAGAAACAATCCGAAAATAAACAAGAAATGAAAAATAATCATAACCAGGAATTTACAATAGAATGAATATAATGACTACTTACATTATCATTTATAAGTCTAAACGCATGCGATCATATCAAAGTTATTCGTTTAGAAAGTCTTTAGCCGCTATACACAATACAAGTATATATAAATTTTAAATCTATTACATTCAACTTCGTGATTATTGTTCTTTTAAAATAATAGTAAATAGGATAATATAATATTTTTAAAGTAAATATTATATAATTAATAGCTTAAATTGTAAGATCACGATCATAGAACCCTCTCCCCACGGCCAAAATATATTAATCATATACGGCCTTGTAATTATGAAAATAAACTACTCTAGGATTTCGGAAAAAAATCATCAATTTTTGTAATGAAGCGAAGGTAAAGATTATTATTATTCAGAAGTAAGATATGCAGCAAAAGTAAAGGAAGAACTAATTTAATTTCCTTAGAATTGCTATAAGAAATGATATGCCATTTACGAATACAAAAAAAATATATAAAATAATAAGCTTACAACTGATATTGTTTTGTAATTATGGTCCAAAATTTGATCGAGTTAATGTATAGACTAAAAGCTAACTAAGAAATATAGTGATCGCCTGCCGAATATATTATGCAAAAAATTTTACAATGTCGATCAACCATTCTTTAATAAAAAAAGCTTTATTTCATTCCTCGGATGAAATTTGTGTAACCATTATCACACTACATCAATTTGTAATTTGATAGATATCAAATGCATTATTAAGTTGAATTAATATTTTCATGTTTTAATAATTTATTTTTCCCCAACATATTCATAAGTTTTGTCTTAAAAATTAAGGTATTTTTTAAGATCCTTTTAAAAGTATAGAGAAATACATAATTTTAACAATAAAATATATGTAATTTTACAAGAAAAAAACAATTTCTTAGATTACAAAGATGGGATTTCAGATAATTCTTATGTAAAATTCAAAAAATCAATTATTTATAATAAAAC